CCCTCATCATCATCCCTGCTACTCTCTCATAATTGCCAACAACTGTCAAAAATTTCTCTCTTCTCTTTTCCTCCAAAATTCAACACACCCATCTTCTTCCTCACAGAATCAAGAAAAATGACTAACCCTCAAGATAACCCTGGTACACCTCCTCCACCTACCCCCTCCGATTCCTCTACTACTCCTCAACCTAGCACTACCCATCAACCTAAGAGAAGGCGAGTAAAAATGCTTGCTCGAAAAACTGTGGCTAAAGGTGTGGTTTCAAGGAAATTAAACACACAGTTACAGGCTAGTCAATCCCAAGACTCCCAAAATTCTGATGAATCTTTCAAGTCGTCGAGTGAGGGGGAAGGAACTCGGTCTTCCGATTCTGAGCAGGTAACATCTGTGCAAAATCCTTCTACTAAGGTCATCTCTGATTTGGCCGAAGATTTGGAAAATAGATTTATATTGGTTGGGTCTGTGGTGGATGTGGAAACGTCTGAGTTAAGAAGGAGAGGAGTTAAAAATAAAAGAGAAAAGGAAAAAGAGAGTGAGGGTGTGCAAAGTGATGAGAAGGGACAAGGGACAGAAGTGGTTGATTCTTCACCCACCTCTGAAACTATTGAAATGGCTATCTGTGGGGCTGAGCCAGAAAAGGTGGAAGAAAGTAGCAACAAAACAGGGGGAAGTGAATCAAGGGAAGCCTCTGAAGGGTTGGTCAATCTTGGAAAGCAATCGGATGAACCTGGTTCATCCATTGATGAAACCCTAGCGGATCTTCTAAAAAGGGTAGGTGACAGTTGTAATCCCAAAAAGAAGAGCACTCCTAAAACCATGACCCTTGGGACAGCAGTGAAAGCCAAGCAAGTGAAAATTACTGAAGAAGAAGACTAGAGTGGTGAATAGGAGGATGAGTCTGATAATGAAAAGGACAAGCTGGCCAAGTTTGGCAAACGAACTATCTTGAAGGGCAGACTTTTGAAGGACTTGGAGGAAGAAGGGATGGTTCTATTGCTTGACTGGCTAGAGGTACAGGGGTGGAAGGACATGGTCCTTTAGATAGATGGCAGACTAGCCAGAAATGAGGTTATTGAATTCATGCAAACGTTGAGGTAAAGGATGGAAGAGTCACCAGCCTGGTGAAAGGGGTTCAAATTTCCTTTGATACAAAAGAGCTGGGTGAAATCTTTGGTATACCCTCTGAAGGGTATGATGATTATACAAGGCAGAAATGGCCAAGTCTGGACTCCCTTCCTACTGCCCTAGCCATTACTAGGAAATTCTGTGATAATAAAGAAGTAAGTGAGCCAAAGGTTGTTTATAAGAGGGAAATGAAGCCTCCCCACAAGGTGTTGTTTGAATTCGTCAACAAGTGTGTGGTGCTTAGGCAGGAAAGAAGGCACATTGCTAACTACATGGACATGGTTTTGATGGAATGTCTAGATAGTGGGCGGTAGATCAACTGGCCTGGGTTTATAATCAAGCTTCTAGATCGGGTTATCAATGGCTCCAAGGCCCATGCCACTCCTTATGGCTTCATTCTCACTACTGTTCTTGCTCATTGTAAGTTTCCACTGAGGAAGTAGGAGATGGCCACAAGCAAAGACCATTCTGGAATCAATACTCTGATTGCTTGTGATTATGAGATCACTGCCATTCCCAATGAACCCGGTTCATCTAAAAAGACACCTGTCAACATCAAGGTCAGAGCCCTAGTGCAGGAGAATAAGGCAAAGGATGCTGAGATAGCAAGGCTAAAGACTCGTTTGGCAGAGGTAGAATCTGAGAGGGATGCTCTCAGAACTGAGCTCACAAAGGAAAAGGAGAAGAATGGTGGATTTCTTCAAGACATGCTGCACCTTCTACTAGCCAAAACCCAAACCCCCAGTTCTTCCAAGACCTAATTCTCTAGCTCTGCCTAGACCTTTCAGTGACCCAGATTCGGGATGTTTCTTTTTGTTGCTCATGTTTTAAATGTTTTTGTTTCTTTTTGTGGATTGTGGCAGAATCATATTCTCTATCAATGAAGTTTGCTGCTTTTGCTCTTATTGACTTTTTATATTTTCTTGATAGTTTGAATTTGTAGTTGATTATTGATGATTAATCTATGAATGCATTTGCAGTCGCCCCAGTGGCCATGAGTAATTTTTAAAATCTAGGAATAACACATTTTTTATGCAACAGTTCGATGATGCCAAAAGGGGGGAAAAGAAGTTGTGCTTTATACTCTGAACAATGATGTTTATAACCTAATGAACCCGGTCCTTCATGATAAGTGAAAAATATTTTCTAACATTGTGTTGATGTTGAGCTGAGTTTAAACAGGGCCTAAGTGTATGAAAAGCACAGAGTTTGTCATCATCAAAAAGGAGGGGAAATTTGTTGGCCCAAGTAAAAGGTTAGTTTTGAAGACTGACAAAGGAACTCAGACATGAACCAGGTCCATCCCGGTTGAGCATAGATACGGATAGACTTGAGCGCGTGGGATGCACGTGAAGGAGATAAACCTAACTTGATAGAATTGATATCTCCTGATCCCGATCGAAAAGGCTGCATAATTGATAAGGAGAAGGACTCCTTACTCAAAGAGAACACTATTCAAGAAAGGGAAGGAGTTAGAGATTGAGATCAACTAGAACTCTTCCACCAAGGAAGACTAGCATCAGAATTCTAGTTAATCTCTATTTACCAACTCTATAAAAGTCAGTGTTGTTCTCTTTTACAAGTAATGCACAAACGCAGAAGTTAAACAGGAATTGAGAGAAAAATAGCAAGGCATTTTGCATGCAGTTCGTGTGTGATTCAAGTGTGCAAGCTACATGAACCAGATAGAAGAACCAGTTCCAAGTGTCTGTCTTTTATTCTAGTTCAACTGTAGTAGGTGTTTTCATATTGTACCTTTCAGCTTTATCTAGAGGTAATTGTAATAGGTACTCAGAGTTTTCAAGTTAGAGTTAACTTGAAGTTGTCGCAACAGTTAGGGGCTGTGTGCTACAACGAGATTAGAGTTAGTCCTAGGCTTACAAAAGAGTTTTTGTAAATGCAGTTTTTGGCTCAGTGATTTACAAAATTGGTCACCACATATATCACCCTCCTCTTGTGTGGTATTGAAGTATAAAACATCACTTACAGACTAAGGGAAGAACATCTTTAGTCACATAACATATGTACCTCGAGACTCCTTCACCCCGATCCTGTTTGCGCGAAGGCTTCTCGACTTTAAAGTCATCTGCAGTTGAGCAGCCCCCGGGAATGAATGCTGTCAAGGGAGGCTCGGCATCGGTTCGTCAGCAACCACAACGGGGGAAGACGTTTCGAGGGCAACCACTTCAGGGGCGACCGCTTTAGTACCTGCAACCGGTTGAGAAGATGAAGAGGCAACTTGTTGAGGAACGATCTTCGATGTTTTGGCCATTGTCATCTGGGGGAGTGTTTTGAAAATTTGAGGAAAGAAAGCAAAGTTTTGGATAAACGCGTTTTGGAGATGAAGAACAAAGTATGAAGATTTTGGGAAAATCTGGAAATTCCTATGGAAAATTAAGAAGGATGAAGATATGAAGGTTTGAAGATGTTTTGATTATGGTCGGAAAGCTCGAAGGTAGTAATTTAGTCGAAAAGTAGAAAAGAACAAAGGAGGAAACTTTTATAGGGAAACAGCTGACGCTTCACATTCGCGTGCAACTTGCCGATGAGCGACACGTGTCTGAAGTCAGAACGACGCGACTGATGGGACGTTTCGGCTCCCTCGTCGCAACGTCCGAAGGAAGGAACCAGAGTCATCTGTCTTTTCCCATCGTTTCGGTAAGCCTACTCTCAGAGAAACGAGGGGACTATCTGTATACGGGTAAAACTGAACCCAATGAGCACCTCGGTCGGCGAGGCAAATGGAGCAGGAGCGTGATCGTAAGGAGTCGGAGTCAGAACAAGGAGCCTCTCGTATCGGGGCTCGAGTAAAACACCTGCCCTCGGGGGCATCGGGATCACGTCCTCGGAACCGGTTCGAGCCTCAAGACCTCGGAGAGCATTACCAGACAACCGCACACGACTAATAAAGGGCCGTGATGTTAGTGCCCAACCGGATATCACGCCGTGAATCGCGGCCCGCATTGGCAGAAAATCAGTGATTAGCGAAATGGAAGATTTTTACCTTTCTTAGGATTGTACTTAGGGTAAAACTCCCCTACTATATAAAGAGGCTGATTATATATCAGGGACATTGTAGCACGCATACCAAGGCAATTTACTTCTATTCTCTTTGTTATTCAAAGTTCTTATTTTTATCCATAAGTTCTTCATAGGCGCAAGCTCGGAACCGAAGGCAGGTTCCTCATTGAGCCATTAACCGAGCCCGGAATCACTCTTATTGTTGGTTTGGCCATTTATTACGTTTTTTCTTTTGCTTAATTTAATGTCATTAATCACTTATATTGAATTAATTCACATACCCTTAAAACTGCGTATAAATTCAATTATTATCCGTTTTTAAGGGTAAACACATATGACATGATATATTTTTATAAGATGCAAATAAGAAAGTATCAATCTTTTCTAAAGAGACCCAAAAGCAAAGTACCATATAAAATGAAGGGAGTATTAATTTTGATTCCTGAAAGTTGTGAAAGCAAGTACTAGTAAAAGTTAAGCAGAAAAACCAGAAACAACGTTGCGCATCCAGAAACGAAACTGTTTCCAAACTCTCTTCGATTTGTTTACCATGGCAGACTATTATATGCAAACTTTTGGTGATTAATATTGAAATCGGAGAAGCCATGTGCATGTGCTCTGAAGTTGCTCCTATTTGATATCGGTAGTAATTTCATTTTCCCAGTTACTTCTTGTGATTTTGCTACTTCCGCAAAAGAAGTCAATCATTTTTTCCCATGTAGTATTATACATATCTAACTATAAATCTCAAATTCTTGAAAATTTCGGGACAAATTGGAATGGGATTGAACGCCATTTTCCAACACATTTTCAGGAAAAGAAAGGAATACGAGGAGCTCAGAGCAAGGTAATTCTTTGGGGTTAAAAGAGGAGTTTTATTGATATTTCACATATAACTTACATAGCACATGATAAAGAAGCCAAACACGCTTACAACCATAGCTTACCACATTTATTTGTAGTAGTTATATCAGTACTACTCTAAGAGCCTTAATTTATTTACTCACAAAGCTCTCAGTTCTCACATCTGCATCATTACTAGTTCCCGTGCAAAGCTATACAACTTAGAAAACGAAGTCCAAAATTGAAGACAGATACTGTTGTCCCTTTCCTTCTTCTTCACCCCTCTCCCTCTGCCGCTGGCCGCGCTGTTCTGGTCCTGCCACAAAGTAAGATTGATCTTGCCTCTGTAATATTTCTTCTACCTCCTTTCCTGGCATGTTGAATGAAAGCTCCTTGGCCTCTCTGTCCACATTTCTCCATATGTTTTGTTGTCCTGAAATTTCAAACCAGCCAAAGAATTTTATTAAGACACACTCACATCATGTTAAAATACACACTAGAACAGAGGAAATTGATATACCTGCAAGGAAGTTCTTTCTGTTGTTATGAGCATTGACACCAAAACCAACTATCCTGAGATTTGAACTTCCAGTGGCTATAATGGTAATAGGATGGCCAGCAGGGACTACCAAAACATCACCAACTGAGAGAGTACCACGGACTTTCTGGTAATGGACATCTCCACCTTCCTCTTCTTCTGATTCTTGTTCTCTTCTTCCTCCACGGGACCCTTGCCTCTGGCTCTGGGTACCAAGATGAGGACATGCCATTTCAAAACGCCCAGTTCCTTCTACAACCATTGCCAACCTTGTTGACCTTGTATTGTAGTATGGTAGTACCATTCCACCCTGCAATTATGTTTCAAATTTTATCTTACAATACACTAAGAATTAAAAACAAAATTCTTTAATTAATATGATGCAAATAGGCATACTTGGTTAATATTCATGAAAGCAACAGCAGCATCCAAATCCCTCAACTGTTCAAATCTCTCTGGAGATGCTTCAAAGAACTTTCCAAATTTGCTACTGATTAATGGGCGTTCTTTCAACAGATTAAAAGGACCTGTTGTCTGACCCTTAGTTTGTTGCTTAGTGGAGCGCGAAGCGTGTTCGCTTATTGCTCTAATTTGCTCTTCAGATGCTTTGATTACTATCCCCTGTTTTTGTTGCCCAAATAGCCTCTGTAACCTGTCCCTTGGGGTCTAATGAATAAACAAAATACACAGTGAGAATAAAAATGATCGAGTGAAATATTAAATAATTGAATATCAATTAAGCGGGCTTACATTGAAAGCAGTCTCCAGGATATCGCTGCTGAAAGCTCTGTAGAAGGATTCTGGATTCTGACCTCCACCACTGAAGTATTCCTGAACCATGATAAAGTACATCAGTATTCACAAACTGTAGGTACAATATTTTGGAGGCTGTTATCTTGAATACTTCTACACCAAGTCCTGATTTGACTTATTCTAACTAATGAAGATAGAAATACTCATAAGCAATAGCCCCAAAATTTAAACTAATTGTTGAGAATAATTTGGTTTTTGTCACGCAATATATAATACTACTATGATTACCTGGAATTGGCCAGGGGTATTGATAGCCTGGGCTAGCACGTAAACAAAGAACCTTTCATTGTTATCCCTGTTGACCATGTAGATTGTTGAACCAGCATTCACTCTGATTACATCTCCATGCTCCAAGTTGAAGGAGTTCTTCTCATCCTGTTCTGCTATACTTATGGTTCCTCTTCCTGAAATAAAAGTTAACATTACTGTAATTACCATTTCACTTCGTTTTAATTAATACTCAAAGAACATAAGCAAAATGGAAAAAATTAATTACCTCTAACCACAACAAATATGGCTTCAGCATCACAATGATGAGGAAGCATGAAAGACAGAGGCTCAAATTCAATTACTGCAACTCGGTAGTTTTCTATTCCTCGGAGTAGTTCAGATCTTTCGGTGAATTTCTGAAGGACTCGAAAATCACCATGCGTGGCTCTGAATCGAGACCTAAACCTCTGAGACTCAAACAAGTAGGGATTGTTCTCTTCTTCTCTTTCTCTTTGTGGGTTCTCCCTTTCTTCTCCAGTCTCCTGGCCACGTCGTTGTTGTTCTTGCTCTCTCCTGAACTCTTCCTCGCAACGTTGTTGGCACTGTCTCTGTTGTTGGCCTTGTTCTTGTCTTTGGCACCTCTGCTGGCACTCTCTAAATCTCCTCTCAGGTTCGCGTTGGCCTCGTCCTTGATTTTCTTCTATGATCTCCCCTTGGCCGCGGCGTTGTTGTTCTTGCTCTCTTCTGTACTCTTGCTCACAACGTTGTTGGCATTGTTTCTGTTGTTGACCATGTTCTTGTGTTTGACATCTCTGGTGGCATTCTCTGAATCTCCTCTCCGGTTCACGACCTGTTAGACAAGAAACAATAAAACAAAAAAGAATTCAAGAAAGGCAATTAAGCTTATTTATATATTTGTGGTGTTAGTTACGTAATATTTTCACATACACGTATGTATATATTGCTGTTGCTAAATGCTAAGATAAAGGTGACAAAAAGAGTTTTCCCCAGTCTTGATGTGTATCCCCACGGACATTATATTTGTCCAGATTAATTACTCCCTTGTTTGCACTTTATATGATATGCATCAGACCACTTTATACTAGACAGTCTAATAACTATTTCCTAAGACACATTCCGATTTCTAGAGCCTTGACGGTGATTTGGGACCCAAAATTTTTTTTTTATTTCTTTGAATAAAATTCATATATTTAAAGACAATGTAAAAACTAATAGTATAAGTTAAAATAATTAATAATTTAAAATATTTAAAACGCATGTAACAAACTTATAATTAAAAGGGAATATAAGCTAAATAAAAAATAATTTAAAATATATTTAAAATGCATATAATAAACTAATAATCAAATGTAATATAAGTTAAAATATTTAAAATGCATATAATTAAATTATAATCAAAGAAGCTCGTATAATCCTCGAAGATCCGGTAACGCCCAATTAGCTACATGAGTTGAGGAGACGAGTACCATTTAAGGGCATACAATTTTTAAACTTTTTTTTAAGCACATAAAATTTCCAATTTTAAAATTTACATATTTAAAATTATGTAAAAAATTAATACTATAAGCCACACAAATTAAACATTTAAAATGCTTTTAAAAAGCATTTGCAAAACGGTAATAAAGAAAAACTCTTTCTACTGTTTCACATAAAATAAAATAGTTCGAGTATAACAAATACCATACCTTCTCGTCCTTGATTATCTTCTCCAGTCTGGTGGCCACGATGTTGTTGTTCTTGTTCTCTCTGATACTCCTGATCACAACGTTGTTGGCACTGTCTCTGCTGTCCATGTTCTTGCCTCTGACAACGTTCCTGGCACTCTCTGTAAATCCTTTCAGGGTCACGGTGATGAGCCAGTATGTCCTCAATCACTTCTTGAGATTTCTCCCTTTGTTGACGTTCGTAACGTAAAACACAGCTTCTCTGACACTGGAGTTGCTGCTCAGGGCTCTCTTGTCTTTCTTTCTCAACCTGGCATTGCCTTAAGCAACTCTCGAGCTCGCGCCTCGGGTCTTGGCCACGAGGGTTTTCATCATCACATTGAGAAGCAAGGAAAAGAGAAAGGATCAAGAAGAAGAGAAACAAAAGCTTCGGTTTAGTGAAAATCGTCATAGTTATTGAACTGTGATGTAGAAGTGTTGATGGGGATGAAGAGAAGTTGATTTTGTTCGAGGGGATTTATAGTGGAGGAAGATGAGTTTGAGACATTGCCTGCATGCATGCAAATTGACAAGTGTTGATAATGAAGAGAACGAAGAGTAACGTGGAGAAGAAAATGAAGTGATCAACTCGAAGTGGTAAATACTTATTTACATCGGATGTTTACATCAAACTATATTAACTTATAATGGTTAATTAATTTATTTAGATGAGAATGCATACAATATATCATGGTTAAATGATTGAAGTCTATATGCAAAACACATGTCATGTATTTATTGATTTGATATAAACATTTGATGCGAGTAAATTTTTACCCTGGAAGCTAACTAGGTAGCTGCGTGCATGTCACGTGAGCACGGTGTACGGACAATTTGTAAACGACATGAACATAGCTGGCACTGGAAATATACGGCGAGTTGATAAGTATTGATGCTTTTGCTGATCGCTATGCCCTTTCTTTTTTCCATTACACCACATACAGCCAAGATATTATTGCACTGTATGCATTTAAAAAATGGGTGGGTGAGTGCGGAGAATTGAAGTAGTAAGTTTCATTTTTCTCTTAATACAATATAAATTCAAGTATTAACTCATTATTCTTTGAGCATAATTTAGCAGTGGAGTATTCTAGCAATAGTGTGGTGAGTTCTGCAGAATTCAATAATTTGAGATTGAACAAATATGTGTAAAAATCTCGTACAAATAACGTTAAATTAGTAATTATATATATATAGTTGCTTTTTTTTTTTTTAAATTCAACACTCATGGCGTTTAAATTTCCGTTAATGCTACTATCAAACTTTACCGAAACGACACATATCACTCAAACAAGAGAGATCGGCTAACATGTCGATGATTACATCAAGGACAAAACTACAGGGTTTGCTATAGACCCAAAAATGCTAATTGGGGTGTTATTTCCCTTAAGCCGTTTGGTCGGAGAGCTAGTGATGGGGGAAACATAATGAGCCAGGTATTTGTTTTCCTAAATCATAGTAGCAAAATAGCAAACAAACTAGTATAGCAAATTAACCGAATTAAGAAGATGTCACTGGTAGATCCAAAGTGAACACGTGAAGTGAACACTTGGCAACAACCACGCATGCAAAAAGGACGAAGGTTTGCCGCGGCATTGTGTCTTGTCTTATATCTGTGCAAATGCAAAAAATGACACTGTTTGCTACATCCCACTGTGACAGAAATAGAAGACATTCGGGCCTGGGGCAGATGCACTGTATTAATAGCACGTCCAGACAACTTTTGTATAGATGCGTGTGTATTGTTAACTTTGTAGTTGAAACGATTTTAAAAGAGAAAAGGATTATATTTATGCTTTTACTTTTAAAAATAGTTTATATTTAAATTTCGTTATATTATTCGATCAGATACAATCAGATCTTTTTATAATAGTATTTTTATATAATAGTTACTAGTGGGATTTAATATAAATGTCAAAAAAAATTCGGACCCAATATTTTATGTTACATTTTATCTTTTTATAACAACTTTTTACCCGTAACAACATTAATATCCATCTTTATAGCAGTACGCTCTTTGTAACATTACACTTCTATATATAACAGTGATGTTTTATACTACAATGCCACACAAGAGGGTGTGTGATTTATGTGGTGTCCAATTTTTGCGTGCACATATTATAGAAGGATCCGGTTCTTCTATATGTTCTTTATACTACTAATGCGGAAATAATAAATGTGAATAGTAAAGAACACAAATATTTTTACGTGGAAAATACCCGGCTCTAAAAGTGAAAAAATCACGACCTACACTCAGTAGGATTTTTCCAACACTTCACTAAATCACTGATGCAAAACAACAATTACAAAATTCTTTGTAAACCTAAGGATTACCTCTAATCACGTTATGGCAACAAACCTCTAACTGTTGCGACAACTTCCAAGTTAACTCTAACTTGAATACTCAGAGTACCTAATACAATTGCTTCTAGATAAAGCTAAAAGGTACAATTTAAAAACACCTACTACAATGAAACTAGAATAAAAGACAGACACTTGGAACTAGTTCTTCTATCTGGTTCATGGAGCTTCAGGTTTGCACACTTGAATCACACAAGAATTGCTTGCAAAATGCCTTGTTATTTTTCCCTCAACTCACGTATAACTTCACCTTTTGTGCGTCCCTGTAAATTGAGAACATCCTGTAATTTATAGAGTTAGTAGAATAGGAAATAACTAGAGTTCCAATGCTATACTCTTCCTCGGTGGAAGAGTTCTAGTTATCTTCAACTTTTAACTCCTCCCTTATCTTGGATAAGTTCTCTTCGAGTAAAGAATCATTCTACTTATCATTTATGCAACATTTTCGATCAGGAGATATCAGATATAACAACTTAAGCTTATCTCCTTCACGTGCATCCCTTATGCTCGAATCTGCCCGTGACTGTGTACACTTTGTATGGACCTGATTCATGCTTGAGTTCCTTTGTCAACCATCAAAACAAACTTTACTTGGGCCAATGAATTTCCCCTTTTGATGATGACAAACTCTGTGCTTTTCATAAGCATAAGCCCTGTTTCAACTCAGCTCAACATCAACACAAAGTTAGAACACTTTTCATTTTAAAATCACTATCATCAAGGATCAGGTTCATTAGGTTATAAACATCACAGTCCCGAAGTAGAAGCACAACCTATCTTCCTCCTTTTGGCATCATCGAAAAGTTGCATAATTGTTACATCCCGTAATTTTGTACATTGGATTTGTCGTAAGATAATTGACATAGGTTCAAGGATAAGACTATTTTTGAGGTTATAATTATTTATGCCATTTATAGCAAATGATAAGTATGTGTCGTGAAGGTCATAGGGTAAACGAGTTGAAAAAAATAAGTTTTGTCGAAGTTTATCGTTTTGAGATAAAATACGATCCGAACTACAATACCCGGTATTTATGGACTAGTACCATATAAGGTACCATATGACCATGATAGTAAGGTGTATAAAGTGTGTTAAAAGTAAGTAGTATTTTAAGTAGTTTAAGATAATTCTTAATTATATGGATAATTGGGTAATTAGTAATTTTAATGGAAGATTAACTAATTAATTAGTTTATTTGGATAAGGTTAATTAATCTCCTTAACGTGACAGCATGTGTGATGTTAATAAAGCCTAAATGTGACTAAGGATGTTATGTTATAAGGTGGCATTAAGAGAATTTTTCTTGTGGCTTAGTCATTATTCAAGTGTGGGGCCCATACCCAATTTATATAAAAGGCCTCTCAAAACCACAAAATTGAGGCTTATGACTACATGTAGTAACAGATGGATTTCATTAAGGGGATGGAAATTCTCAAAGAAATACTTATGAAAAGCTTGCTAGAACGGAGGAATTCTCAAAGGAATTCTTATGAACTCCTACAATGTGAAACATGAATGGTAAATTTTAAGGAAGTACGGTGTAATCTTTTCCAAGAATATCATACGGATCTTTCTCTACTTGATCCGCCGTTACGTGTTTTTTCGCAAAGACGTGTATTAGAGAGATTGTTAAAAGAACCGGCTCAGGTATGTTAAGGCTAATCCTTCCATCTTTTGGCATTATCACAGTAACGATACGTAAATGTAATGCTATTTCATGAGTGTTTCTACTCTTAGCAGTTAAGGATGTCTATGTTATTCATTCATGTAAAATGATATTCAAGCATGTCTAAGTATGTTTCTAGCTCCCTATTGAGGTATATGATAATGATGTTAATGTTTATGAAATAGTGATACATGCATCTTCATGCATTTACCACCGAGCTACGGCCGGTCGGGCAGTCATGCATTTACCACCGAGCTACGGCCGGTTGGGCGGTTATAAATTTATCACCGAGCAACGGCCGGCCGGGCAGTCATGCATTTACCACCGAGCTACATGGTTGGGCAGTTACACATTTACCATCGAGCTACGGTCGGTCGAGCAGTCATACATTTACCATCGAGCTACGACAGGTCGGGCAGTCATGCATTTACCACCGTGCTATGGCCGGTCGTGCAGTTACCACTGATCAGTTGGGCAATCATGCATCATAAGATATGGATAATAGTCTCAAAGAGAAGCTTTGTATATATATGAGTATAATAAGTATGTATATACGGTGGCACTTCAATGATTCAGGTTGATTCTTATATGTCTTTAATTAATGTTGACTATTGTTATGGTTCAGTTCCGCCTTACATACTCGTTACATTATTCGTACTGATGTCCTTTTGTTGGGGACGCTGCATTCATGCCTGCAGGTATAGATAATCAGTTTGACGAGCCCTCATAGTAGACGAGATTGGCATGCATTGAAGGATCGGTAAGACTCCACCTTATTCGGAGTGCAGCCGAGCCTATGAGTCATCGTGTCAGAGTATTGCTACAGAATTATGGGTAGGCCGGTACCCTGTCCCATTTGATGTCAAATAATCTTAGAGGCTTTGCAGACAGAGGTTCATTTTGTACAGTATGTTAGAGGCCTTGACGGCCCATATGTATTCATGTTTTAAGAACGATGGTTCATTGATGCAGTGTTTGCCCACTTACAATTATACATTATGAGTTGTGGCCATGTTGGCCCATGATAGTTACAAAGAAAAAAATGAGTTACAGAGTGGTTCACTCGGGCCAGTACGGCAACGGGTGCCAGCCACGCTTTCCCATTTGAGGCATGACAATAATTATGTTAGATAACCAGATTTTAACAGAAATTACTCATGGCCACTAGGGCTACTTCAAATGAAATCATGAAGTCAAGCATCATTTATCAATCTAATGATATTAGCCATCTAAGAAGCATCAACAAACAGTTAGAGCACTAAATCAGTTGATTATCATTGATACTAGTCATCCACAAAGCATAAAGAGAAATAAAAATACTGGATCATGAGCAAAAGAAATAAAAAAATCCCATTCGGGTCACTGGTTGGTCTAACTAGTCTAGGAGGTCTTAAGGCTGGGAAGGACCTATCACGGTCCAAACCGATGGACCGTGACGGGCA